AGGACTGCGCTTAGTTTTGCTCTCATTAAAGCTCATCAGCATATATCGAATTGCCGCACCGTGATTTAACCACGGGCATTTGACATGAGATGTGAACGTGTAACCACTATTCCAGCAACGCACGTACTGTACTTTCACACCTGAACAGGCGAAATCGTTCACCCTTGAGCGATGTGATAAGCGTGCCTGACTCATCAAATGGCTACCCAGTATCTGTCCTGATCGTGGCGATTGATTGCTTCGCCAGTCAGGACTTTCCAGCCAGGTAGCGTAACACACGCTTGAAACCTACTGGGCAACCTCTTGGTTGCAGTTTTAGAGTTCTGCACGGTAGATATTTTGTTCATATTCGCAACAATCTCGTTTGAACGATCGACTTCCTGTTCTGGCGTAATTATTCCGGTGAGTCCACACTAAAAGGAAAGCATTGGACTCGAGTTTCGCTCTCATTAGAGCTCATCAGCAGCGCATATCCAATGACCGGGCCGAGATTTGAACCTCGGATATTTCCCAGTGTTTATGACATTTCCCACTTTTTCGTGCACTTTACAGTACTCGCAAGCCCCGAGCCATGCTTTATTCCGACTGTAAACGTATGATCATGCCTGACGGCATGCCAGCCACAAGTTGAAAGTAAACATTAAGATTGATTAACATTGATTCTCCTCTTCGATCTGGTCTTAGCTCGGAATTCCCTCCACTAATACATTAGAAACTGTGCCTTTCTACTCGTACCGGCTTGGTGGTAACCAGGTCTAAATCGGATAACGACCGCTGTATATGTCGCTGTCCCCTTTCCACGGACTCATCTGCACCCGCGACCCCGCCAGTTATGCACTTATGCTGACTGTGAAGTTTTAATCATGCCTGACAGAACGCCACCCACCCATCGGTAACTAACACGGATATTATTATATAATACCATTCGGTCATAAGGTGGGAGACTTAGAATGACTGTGAATAATCATGCCTGACAGAACGCCACCCACCCATCGGTAACTAACACGGATATTATTATATAATACCATTCGGTCATAAGGTAGGTGACTTAGAACGGGCC